CTGGTATGTCTGGACCCCCTGGACCTCCTGGTACTCCTGGAGCCCCCGGAGCTGTTGGCCCCTCTGGCAAGACTGGTGACCGTGGAGAGTCTGTAAGTTCCCCTTCATGCCTTTCTTGATCCTGTTCAAAAAAATAACATGTAATGTGCAGATAACTGATTTCACCAACCTCTCTCTTCCCTTTAGGGTGCCGCTGGCCCTGCTGGTCCTTCTGGCCCCGCTGGTGTCCGTGGACCTGCTGTAAGTCTGTCACTACATAATATCTCACACTAATTTACAGACATACTTGAAATATTGCAGAAATCTCACAGGATTTCCTGAACTTGGAATTTTTAACCTTTTGTTGCTTTTATCCAGGGCCCTGCTGGTGCAAAGGGAGACAGAGGAGAGGCTGGTGAGGCTGGAGAGAGAGGCCACAAGGGACACAGAGGATTCACTGGCATGCAGGGTCTGCCTGGACCTGCTGTGAGTAACTTTTAGCACTTTTGGAAGAAATCATTCCTTTACTCACTGCTAACTGTGAAACACTTAACAGGATCTCCTTAACAAATGGGACATACATCTAAGAGTAGATGTATTCATAGTTTTCTAGTTTACTTTGTCAAAACATCACACTTAATATTTAGACTTAATTGATAGGATATTTCAAACATTCCTTTTTTCCATTCCTGCATCTAGGGAACTTCTGGAGAGAGAGGACCCGCTGGTGCTTCCGGACCTGCTGGACCAAGAGTAAGTGCAGCTGTTTCACAATGTGTTGATTTAGACAGTTATTCACGTACTCAAATCTCTACAAATCTGATATTCAAAGAGTGAAAGTGTGTTTTGTGTTCCTTAAATGTTGCCCTTTGAGACAAGACAAAAGTGTCAATCCAGTTGCTAAAAGTGGTTTTACAATAATCCAGAAAGAAAAATAACTTTGTACCTGATGAGCGTGACTCTACATGTGGTAGTTCTTCACTCCTTTGCTAGTTTACACTTGCGCGTAATTTCAGTGAAACAGCAGTCTGAACTGTCATCAACTGATCTTTTGTTTCTGTTCAAAGGGACCTGCTGGATCCAGCGGTGCTGTTGGTAAGGATGGTATGAACGGTATGCCCGGACCCATCGGACCCCCTGGACCTCGTGGTCGCAACGGAGAGATGGGACCTGCTGTAAGTTGTACTGCTGTCTTTATTTCTTTCCACATACCCTCTGACTTTTTGAGGGCATCTGCCATTTTTAAACTCTGGATGACTTGAAACAGGGTCCTCCTGGACCTCCTGGACCCCCTGGACCCCCTGGAGCACCTGGCAGCGGATTCGACTTCATCAGCCAGCCTATTCAGGAGAAGGCACCCGATCCCCTGCGTGGAGGATACCGCGCTGACGACCCCAACATGATGCGCGATCGCGACATGGAGGTTGACACCACCCTGAAGACCCTGACCCAGAAGGTCGAGAAGATCCGCAGCCCCGACGGTACCCAGAAGAGCCCTGCCCGCATGTGCCGTGACCTGAAAATGTGCCACCCCGAGTGGAAGAGCGGTGAGTGGAGATGATGGTCTGACAGAGAATTTAGATAAAGCGTAACTTTATGAAGAACTGAGCTTTAAATTGGTTTATGTCCCTTCGTTTTAGGCATGTACTGGGTTGATCCCAACCAGGGCTCTGCTCTGGACGCCATCAGAGTCCACTGCAACATGGAAACTGGTGAGACTTGCATCGCCCCCAGCAAGTCCAGCATCCCCATGAAGAACTGGTACCTCAGCAAGAACGTCAGAGAGAAGAAGCACGTCTGGTTCAGCGAGTCCATGACCGGTGGACACCAGGTGAGGAAACAAACACAGCATAAAAAAACATCGACTATATTCACGATGTACTATTAAGCCGGTAACACTGTGCGTGTTTGTCTTCCCTCCAGTTCCAGTATGGCGTTAATGGAGCTGATACCGAGGATGTCAACATCCAGATGACCTTCATGCGCTTGATGTCCAACCAGGCCTCTCAGAACGTTACATACCACTGCAAGAACAGCATTGCCTACATGGATTCCGCCACCGGCAACCTGAAGAAGGCTCTGCTCCTCCAGGGATCCAACGACGTCGAGATCAGAGCCGAGGGCAACAGCCGCTTCACATACAGCGTCAGCGAGGATGGCTGCACGGTGAGTTTGAGTTGCCTTACAGCGAAGTTATACCTGTGAAATCATCCTTTAAGGAAGCACTGAGCAGTTTCTGACCATTTCTCCTTGTTTTTTTCCTCTCCACAGTCACACACTGGCTCATGGGGCAAGACAGTCATCAAGTACAAGACAACAAAAACATCCCGCCTGCCCATCATTGACTTTGCTCCTTTGGATGTTGGTGCCCCTGATCAGGAATTTGGCGTCGAAGTTGGCCCCGTTTGCTTCTTGTAAAAATGAAAGAAATATGGACATGACATTGTTGTTTTTTTTCTAGCAGTCATCTCTAAATCCTTTTTTCTATGCATTCAAAACTCACATTCGGCTGCCATTGGTCCACATGCTTTAAAAAAACCACTCTACTGAAGACGGTGTTTGTGTTTTTCCCAATCATGAGAAGTTCTTTTTTTTTTTTGGGACTGCTACTTCAACCGAAACCAACCGCAAGGACACTTTAAAAAGAATCTTTTGTTTCCACTGGCAACAAGAAAATAATATATGCTTGTGTAAAAAAAAAAAAAAATTTCCCCCTGGAGATTGAGAGAAAAAGATCTGCACACGCAATGAAACACAGGTGACTTTTGCCATTTTCTACCACTGCAGAAGGACATTGAAAACAACAAATGATATGTACCATTTTTCTGGTGTTAAATAAATTGTAAAAAGTGTGAAGTGTCTTCTTGTTCTAAATTCATGAGGAAAAAAAAAAAACACCTGAACATTGGTCAGACAAAAGAGCAAGACAACGAAGCTCACCTTCATTGCAATTTGTAGATGGCTACCTCATAACAAGAAGTCACCCCCAGTTTTTCTGGGGGGAAATATTCTACACAACAAGTCTATTGGGGGAAAATTAAAAACAACGACGGTGCTATTACCAAATCAATGAGGTCCAGCTATTGGTGTTTGATGGTGAAACTCTCACTGTCATACTGTAATCGATGCCACTAATGCCTGCAGAACCTTTGGTGCTACTCAATTGACTTTATTGTCTTGTTGTCTATGTAGTGCAATTGTTTTCTTCTTAAGTGTTGGTTTGAGGTCCTCTGAAAAGGTGATCACTGCAGATGTAATGCATGCAATCATGTCTTTTGTAGATAAAAAAAAAAACAAGCAAGTGACTCTGGTTACAATATCATTTCCCTGCCCATGTGTTCAGTGTTGATCCTTCTGTCTGTTTGAACCCACCCCCCCTGTGGAAAAACTCCTCTTCACTAAAAAGAGAAAAACAGCACACATCTCCCACTCTGTTGTTCATGTTGTTTGTTGATGTCTTTTTCGCGAAGGGTTTCTTAAAAAAGAATTTGAAGCAGACCCACTTTCATGGTTTAAAAAGAGAGATTCTGTACTTATTTTGTACATGTATAATAAATCAAGATGTTTTTAATTATTTTGGGTGCTGAAATAAAGCATGTGAAGTGGTCTACTCAGTGGCAGAGTTTTCACTGTTCTGTTTTGCAACTGTTGTGAAACTGGGGTTTTCAGAAAATGATTCAGAAAATAGAAGTTAGCACAGAGGCTGCATTTTTTACATATTTACCTTCGGCTAAGAGATACATAAACATTTCTGCATATGTGTTTAGGAATCAACTGTTCCACAGCAGTTGCACTGAATACTGTTGAGCAGCAGTGAAAACAAGGCCAATATCCAAGATCCCAGCTTGGCTTTTTCTTCCATCTGACACACAAAAATGTCTCTTAAATCATTGGCTCTGCAGCTGAATTTATGTAGAAATCAGACCTGAAAACACTGTAAAATGTCACAGACCACCAAAAACATGCAGATATTGCTGTTTTGTTGTCATACTCAAAGACAGGCACCTAAATTTGCACGAGGATAAAGTTCATCCACAGACCAAACATGATGAAAACAACCAAATCAGATGAAGATACACCAGCGACCCCTTCTGGATATCTGGTGCAACAACAGCTGGTTTAAAAGGCAGCACAAGAGAATCAAACGTGATTTAGTGTTGACTGGAAAGGCTCATGCACCTTTACAGCTTCTTGTAGAAAGCTGTGCCAAAGGAAATAGCTACAGATAAAGGAGACTCTCCGTTTGCTTGCAGTAACTGGAACGTTTCAGTCCTAAGGCCTTCATGAGACGATCCTGAGGGACAAAGAATGTGACAGGCTGATATAACCAACACTTACTCAGGTGAGGCCAATCAGGGAGCTTTTAGCCAATTAGAAAGCCCGTCACCTGTAGCTCATAGTCCTTAATTGGCCTCACCTGAGGAGGTCACACTGCCATATCTGTCTGTTAGCTCTTTGTTCCCCAGTTTTACCGGACGAAGAACCACAACATTGAATTTCCAATAAGGTTTATTACCAGCAAAAGAATAGCTGGACGTCTCATGATGACACAGAGCCAATTGATGGCCTTTTTCAAATGTATCTTAGACGTCAAGCTATGGATGACAGACAACTTTCTACAGCTCAATCAGGACATGACTAAAGTCATGGTGGTGAAACTAAAAAAGAGAAACTTAGCACTGGCATGTGTCAGCAAGTAAATGAATTTAGGAATCATCGTTGACTCTAATGCACATCTAAACCCTTACAGAAGCTTCAAATGAACTGTTACAATCAATGTTTGCACAGAAGGAATGCTCTGGATTTTGTTTCCCAACACTTGAAGAAGGGATCTTTTCACAGCCACAGAAGAAATGATTACAGCAAGAACAACCTGCTTCAGTGTTCACGGAGGAACCTGATTGTCGCTTTAAGGCCTGAATTGTGAACATACTATATGCTTGAGAGACACAACAGTGTAGAATATAATGATGTTTGTATTCGGAGCAAGACAAACAAGAAAATCTGAAACGATCAATCAGTAACAATTTGAGCTATTGCACACTGTTCATTTATTTTAAAGGAACACAAAGGAGAAAAAACATTCCACTGCAAATATAGAAGCATAAACTGTGGCAGCAAATGAATAAAACTCAGCATATTAAACACATTTTCATCTACCGTTGTTCTCACTTCCTGTGAATACAAACAACACCAGGATCAATCAATTAGTCATCAATAACTCTGACCAGAATGAATGTTCAGCGTTGTGTGAGGACACTGTGTACGGGTTTACCTGGGCAGTGTGTCGCTGTACGGGTCACTGTTAAACACGAGAGTAAAAAAAATCTAGATTAGAATTTAATTATATTTTAGGACTGCCAGGGGAAAAAAAGCTAAATCACACATCAGTAGCAAGAATATTAGAAATATCATTAACAGCAGATTTATCAGAAACTAAAAGTAATTGTCTTCTCTCATGATACATAAAAGTTTCCACTAATTTTCAAGCACATTCATCAACATTTAACCTGTTCCCAGCATCTAAAATGTGACTATTTGATGCTTTTAATGTTCATATATGATGATAATGGAACATTTTTTGGTAGCAGACAAAAACAGATAAATTAACATTTGTGAATAATCTAATTTGGATTTGAAGAAACTGTAATGTATTTGACATTTTATATCCCAAATTATTAACTTCAGCAAATAACAACAAGCAACAAATTAAAGAATAATAATGATAATAAGTGTTGGTTGTAGCTGCTAAGCTTTGTAGAGAGGAGTTTATTTATGATGCACATCATTAATAAGCTTTAAATGTAATCTTCAGGTGTTGATTCAACTTCATTTTGCAGGTTTTTTGTGCTGTTGAATTATATTGTTTTATTCTGAGACGTGTGCGAATAACTCCTGTATTTTGTCTACTGTCACTGATATAAATAAAAACTATTAGAAACACTTAAAGTATGACGCTAAATGCAGTTCAACACCTGAAGTACAGCCTTTAAAATGACCATAAAGGTGATCTGACATCACTCTTTCTCTGATATACTGATTAATATTTGCTTATCAGAGATGTACTGTTATTGGGATTTCTGTAGCAAGGAATGGAAACTAAAAAAATGACAAAGCTTTTTTTAAAAACAGTGTCACAGTTTATCATTTGGAAGGAAAAAATGTAATTCAGAAATGTATTTGAACTGCAAAAGATCCTAATTAGCCCAAATATGGTCACTTTTCTTTAAATTGATAACTTTAAAGGATTATTCTGATGACATAATATACATAAAAACTTGGGTAATTGTTCTAACCTAACATGCCGGTAGCTGAGTGTGTTTACTCACTGCTGGGCCATGATGAGGGGGATGCTGGGGCTGTCCGACTGCAGCGGTGAGGCTCTCTCTCCAGTCCGGCAGTTGAACATGGGCAGCGTGGACAGAGGCGGTTGGGCGCCTCGGTTTCCTGCCATGTTCCTCAGTTCATCGGTGTTCCCGTGAATGGTGTGGTGGTGGTACAGCTGGATCCTGCAGAACACAGGACATCAGTGTTTTCCTACCACTAAATTCATTGTACTGACAAAGTGAGAGTTTACTGGTGCACTTTTACTTAAGTGATATGTTTTACTTTTGTGTTTCTGCTGCACGATATTCAGGGAAACATCAGACTTTTTACACCACTACATATATCTGACAGTTATAGTTACTAGTTAGCGTTCTTATTAAGGTTTTTACATTGAAATAAAGTGTAAATAGATTATAAAGTACTATAAAGTCTAAGCTAATGTTTTCCTTTTTTTTGACTCGTGATCCTTTAAATAAAAAGATTCATAAAGCTTTTTACGATTCATTGTAAATAAAAGATGTTTATAAAATACAGCTATATTTACTAGCTATTTTTCTTATTAAGATTTTACATTAGAGTAAAATCTAGTCAGTTTTTAAAATACTATAAAGATTAAGCTAAAGTTTTCCATTTTTTTTGGATTTGCGATCCTTTAATTATTTTTTTAAAATAGATTTTATGAATTATTGTGCATAAAGGTTATAGTTTCAGAAAGATTTTCCATCTAAATGTGTTTGCTTTTAATCTAAATAAATGTTTGATATCACAAAAAGTAATTTTTTTCTTCATTTAGATCATATAATAAGGAAGTCCTGCTATTTTTTTCTTTTTCAGTGAATAAACTTTTTTTAATTACAGTGTCAGCCTCCTTGTGTACGACTATAATCATTGTATTGAGAGGACACCATTGCTGCATCCTGGGCTAAGTTATGAACAAAAATAATGGTGATTAGTTAAAAAAAATTATGCTATTTATGTTAGAGGGGTTATTTTTTCCCCCTTTAAACATATTGATAGAGAGGTGCAGTCAGGCTGTATGTGAGGCTTAAAACAGCACAAAAGTATAAGCATCAAAATCTAAAAGTATCAACAGTAAAAGTACTTAATATATTTATGTGTGAAAACGTAAACATCACTTTAATTTTGCACATGATAAAGACGTATCTAAGTTTTACTACCTTTATATGCTGCTGATTAGAATAATTTCTAACATTGCAAAATCATTTTCTGATTAATTTTTGGATTGATAATCTCAATTTGCAATTTGCTAAACCTGTCAGAAGTAAATTCGATTCCAAAAGTGGAATGTTTGCTTCTTGAATTACATCTCAACACTCATTAATGCAAAAATGTTTTGTCCAAATCAGTGAACAGCTTGATGCACTCACTGGTTTGATCTTGCATTCCTTTTAGCACTGTGAAAACAAAGAGAGGAATGTGTCAGAGATCAGTCGGATCGATCAAATCTTGCATTTGAGAATTATTTAAAAGAGTCAGTTCAGCCACATAATCAATTGCGTGGAGGTGGCGATAAAATTAAAATTTGGCGAACTGGTCCTTTATCTCAGTGACATTGACTTTTTCATTTACTACATCTAAAATAGACACATACACTCCCTCTCGTCTGCAGAACATGATGTAGGCCAGCAGCGCACACAGGAGGATGGCGAGGATCAGCGGCACGATCACTGTCACCATGTAATCCGGGAAGAAGTCTCTGCTGGGGGGGGACTCCGGAGGGTCGAAGTCAATCCCAGCCTCCAAAATCCCAGAGCCCACGGTGGGAGCAGGTGGCTCCGGCTCCAGCTTTGTCAGGTCGAACTGCAGGGGAAACCAGAGTGTTTCTTCTGTTTATAGAAGCTGTGAGGCACAAAGCCACAGATGACAGGATTGTTCATGTGTCTCAGTGCATTTAAGGGAACAGTTTGATCTCCCAGAAACAGCTGCAGCTAATGGTTATTTCTATGATTTCCTGGTTGAATGTAACCCCAGAGCTGCAGTGGTTGAAAGATGATTAATCAGCAACTATTTTGATGATCAATTATGTCATTTTTTTTTCAAGCTAAACTTATATTCAAGTAAATGGAATATCTCTGGGTTTCATATTATTTTTCAGACAAGTAAGACCTTTAGGTGTTTTGTGCTGTTTCATAAGCAAACTGAGGAAATAACTGGCGGTTTGATCAATAAAAAATCGTTACAGCTGTAATCGATTTCCAACCTAGTGAGAGAAATCCCTCCAGTGGGTCACAAGATAATCACCGGTGGTTGTGAGGTAATCAGTTAATTGACTGACTGTTCTAATAATAAATTAAGCAGTTCTTTAAAAAGAAAAAGAAAAAAAGAAAGAAATTCTAAATTCTCTAATTGCAAATATTTTCCAGTTTCTTTCCTCCTCTATGACCGCTGAATATCTTTGGGTCGTGGACACAACAAGACATTTGTCACCATTTTTTGACATTTGACATCCATCCATCCACTATCTATACACCGCTTAATCCTCATTAGGGTCGCGGGGGGGCTGGAGTCTATCCCAGCTGACTTAGGGTGAAGGCAGGGGACACCATAGACAGGTCACCAGTCTATCACAGGGCTACACTTAGAGACAGACAACCAAGCACACTCACATTCACACCTACGGACAATTTAGAATCACCAATTAACCTCAACATGTTTTTGGACTGTGTGGGAGGAAGCTGGAGAACCTGGAGAGAACCCATGCTGCACGGGGAGAACATGCAAACTCCACGCAGAAAGATTCCGGTGCCCCCACCGGGATGCTAACCGGCAACCTTCTTGCTGCGAGGCAACAGTGACGTTTGATATCCACAGAGCAATTTGTCAGATTAATTAGCAATGAAAGTAAATGTTTGTTGTGACGCTCTTGTGGGATAATTCACAGTATAAGACACAACCACACGTCAAATTAAAGGAAAAACAAAAAACAGAACCACCAGAGGGAAACAAGAGTTCAAGTTTTTCACCCATTTAAAGCTCGGCAGGTCAGAATCCATCTGTTTGTCGAACATGTGGCTAGGAACCAGAGATGCCATTGCTTCATGATAAGGAGTCAAAAGGCAAAACATCTGGGGACCACCACTTGATGCAATATCAAAATTAAATAAAAAGTTAAATTGTTGCCACTTGATAGACAAAATAACAGAAATAAGTTAAAATGTGCAGCTATAGAAGAAAGAAAACCACTAAAATCTCCATTCAAATGACTTATTGTTGGAATAAAGTGTGATTTTTTCCCCCCTTTCTGTCCTCACCAGCTCCGTCTTGCACCAGGAGATACAGTTGCTGGGAATGTTGCAGTAGTTGCAGCCTCCAGGAACCTTGACTTTGGCTCCTGTGGTGCACTGCCTCTGGTGCTCCGGTGTCAGGACTCTCTGAAGACACTCTGAGAAATACTTCTCCGACCCGACCTTCACATACACACTGACACAAATCAGACTTTAGTAAACATAGAGTCATTCCAGAACTTATAGTAACATGTGTACTGGATCTCTCTGTTTACCCTTCAAAGTGTCCAGCGAGAGGAAGAGGAACTCTGCCCCCGCGGTCGAGGGCGTTGGAGATGTTGACTATTTCCAAGGCCTCGGTGCCCCACAGCTTCTGGAGATCCTGCTTTATCTCATCCTGGACAGAAGAGGGCAGCACCTTTTCAATCTCCCGCAGCTTGATGAAGAACTCAGCCTGGTAGGGCAGCATGTTCTCTGTGAGGGACATCAGGGATAAACTCATTCACTGCAAGTCCGACACTGTGCATCATCATTGAAACTACACGTACCTGCGGTGACTTTGATCACGAGGATGTGTCTGGCTGTTTCGTAGCTGCGTTTGTTGACGGCATAGATCTGTGAGAATAAGCATTTGGGAAAAATACCATCATGATTCCAAGTGTTTATATATGTTTAAACAGTCCAGCCTGAGATATTATTACATTTTTAGTTTGTGCATTAAAATTGCAGATTTCCTACATTTCCCAGAATGCCTTAATCCTCAAGAGTCTGTCAATTTACCAGCAAATACACTGACCTTGTTTTGCTCAGTAACGTAAAGTATCATACACTGTAAAACCTAAAATATATTCTCGAAGAAACTTTGAAAGCAATGATTATGCCTGCAATTATTATTGTCTTTGTTTTAAACTTGGGCTGCAACAAGCAATTTTTTAAACTGTCGATTGATCTGTTTGGATTATTTTCTCAGTTATTTATTTAATTCATTAAGGTAAAGGTGAAAACTATTAATCAGTTTTTCCCAAAGCCCAAGATGATAGCTTCAAATGTGTTTTGTCCACAACACAAAGATATTAAACTTACTGTCATAGAGGAGGAAAGAAATGAGAAAAAAATCATGTTTAAAAAGCTGGAATTTTGTTTCTTTAAAAAAAAATTACTCATTCATTATTTAAATAGTTGCAGATTAGTTTAGTTGACAATAACTCAATTAGTTATTGTGGCCTTATTTGAGGCATACATTGAATAATAATGGTGCAGAAATGATTCAAAAAATCAATTTATTGCATTTTCTACTGAATTTTTTAGGTATAAAAAGCATATTTATGCCATTTCTTTTTTGACTATGACTAATAATATGTATTTTTTTTATATACACCTGACATATTTTTATGCATTATAGGTTCCTGGCAGCTTCATACTTTATTAATTAATGAAGTGAGGTCATGCCTATAGTGTAAAAAGGTGCTTAACTAATCCACAGAAAGCAGTTTGTTATAATGGGGAGTGTTTTGAATCAGTGCTACATCTGTAATCTGTGGCTACACCCAAAATCTAACATGTTTTCCAGCTCTAATACCTTCTGTTCAATGGGAACCAAAGTGACACATAAGAAATTTGTACCTCTTCTTCTTGAAAGACGTTTCAGTTCCTGAATTTTTAATGTCGGGTTCAAAATAGCAGCTCCAGAAAGAAGCCCAAAGCTATTGTCTCCGGGGCTTTGATAACAAATCCTGACATTTACCACAGATGCTTCAGATAGCAGGTTTTTCTGCACTAGAATGTTATCTACATGAACAGAAAAGTGTGCTAAAATAGGGCCAGACCTCAATTATGCTTTTTCCCGGAGATGTTGGCGTGCCGTACAGAAAGCCGTTGTCAAAGGGGTGTCTTTGGGTGAAGCGCAGCCACTCTGGGAGGTCTGGGAAGTTCTGCCTGTTGCACTTAAAAATCATGGGGTCATCGTACAAACGTCCGGCTTCAACATACAAAAAGAGGGGCGGAGAAGTGGACTCAATTAGAAAATCTCTATGTGCTTTTCTTTTTAGAGTAATGGAGGTGAATCAGGGCTTACCGTAGAGTTTTGACAAAGGCTCAAAGTCATTCTGGAACGTCTCTCTCATCAGCTCGTATGTAAATAGCTTCCCCACAGGAATGCTGAATTTGATCTCTGCATTGGCCCCAAACAAAGTGGCGGCACAAACTGTGTAAAAGTGCAAAAAAAAACAACACACATTTACTGGTGAACAGCAGAAAACAAAAACCTTCAACTTGACTTTAAATATGACAACACACCGGTCCTACTGTAAACAGTTCCGCCTGCAGTCCTTGAAAGCAGACAAAAAGTCCAAGCAGCAAATAACACAGACTGATACTACAACAGGAGGAAGGCCAGCCAGTGTTGTTGCATTGCAGAAAGTGGAATAATTTGAGGATTAAAACTTGCCTGTCAGAAGGAAGACCCAGCTCCCGCAGCCTGCCATCTTGGTTTGGCCTGTGATTGACAGAACCAAGTGGAGAGGGGCTTGGTCACAGCGACAGACCCGCCAGAGCTATTTTTGACCTCACTCACCTAATAACATCCGGACTGGTGTCTGTGAGTCTGGGAGGGTGTAATAAACCTAAAGCTGTATTATTCCCTCTCTTGATGTAAAAATCAGATTCTTCAGGCATGAAATTTTCCAGGTCTGAATAAACTTCAATCAAGTACTTTAGTATCATTTTGAGGTACTTGTGTGGTTCCGTTTTGACTTGATGACGCTTCTGCTCCTCTACATATTAGTATAAATATTGTACCTTTGACTCTGCTAAGATCAGAACACTCCCAGGAGGAACTGGAAGTGAGTTATTTTGATCTGATGAGACCAAAATTGATTGTTTTGGCCATTAGATTAGACGCTAAGTATGGCAGCATTATTACAGATATACCATCCCCACTGTGAAGCATGGGGGTGGCAACATCATTATGTGGGGATGCTTCTTGTAGGAAGACTTGTAAAGGTAAATGGTGAAATAAATGCAGCAAAGTCTGGGGAAATCTTGAAAGACAACCTGATGCAAGAGAACTACATATATTTGTTTTCCATCAAGAAAATATATAAAGCAGTACAACGATGGTTTAACGACAACAAGGTGATTGTTCTGTAGTGGCCCAGTCAGAGCCCAGATCTCAATCAAACTGAGAATTTGTGGCCTTATCTACTAAATACTGACTTGATGGAGGTGAATACTTAATGCGTACACTTATTTTATATTTATATTATCATTATATTTAATAATTGACATTACTCTGTAAAAGTCTGCTTTCAGTTTGACACGAGAGAGTCCTTCTTTGTAAATTCTTGTGAAAAAGCTAAATTATATTGACCATGATTCAATGTTGGGCTGCAGGGTGGCGCAGTTGGTTAGAACTGTTGCCTCGCAGAAAGAAGGTTGCTGGTTCGTGTCCCGGTGGGGGCACCGGAATCTTTCTGCGTGGTGTTTGCATGTTCTCCCCGTGTAGCGTGGGTTCTCTCCGGGTTCTCTGACTTCCTCCCACACAGTCCAAAAACATGTTGAGGTTAATTAGTGATTCTAAATTGTCCGTAGGTGTGAATGTGAGTGTGCTTGGTTGTCTGTCTCTAAGTGTAGCCCTGTGACAGACTGGTGACCTGTCCAGGGTGTCCCCTGCCTTCACCCTAAGTCGGCTGTGATAGACTCCAGCCCCCCTATGACCCCTAGTGAGGATTAAGCGGTGTATAGATGATGGATGGATGGATGATTCAATGTTGAAAAGCAAAAAGAAGAGAAAACTTTTTCCTATACAAAGACCACCAATTTTAATGTGTAAGTGGCCATTCTTCTTACAATATATAATCACCTTTTAATTCTGTCATACTGATGTAAAACCTTTTAAAGAGTACTTGATTAAATTATACGTTGACTCTTTTACACCATTAATAAAAACATGTAATGGGATTCTTTTACTTGAAAACAGCAATTTCAGACCTACATCCTTTATATATAACAATCAATCAAGTAATACAAACACATTTCTGCAGCAATGATAATTATTACTTTTTTAGTGTCATATCAAATCAACTGAAATCCACTTTATTCAGCTAAATACCACAAATTTGCCTCAAGAGTCTTTGTGATCTGTTCACTCTCTGTGCTTACACCCATGATTCAGAACTCAAGATTGATGGGGAAAAACAACCCCAAAAACCTTCGACCTCATACGCCGCTGAGGGTAGATCCATCCTTTCAGAAGGAATACACATACAGCTGATGTTGTGTGTGCACAACAGACCAACACAGTGAAATTACAGCCTGAACAACCAAAATGACAAAATTATAGGTCGTAAACCGAGTGGACGGTGACACAGTCAGACAGTTTTTAATAGGAATGGGAGACTATTACTCACACTGTCGTGGCACACAAACTGGTGTCTTGTTTTTGGGGCTTTTTTGTGGTCAAATAGTCGATTATTGTTTGCTTACACGAGTGCCATGTGAAGTGCATTGTGAGGGCTTATGTATATATAATGTGCTTTTATTGGGGGTTAAACTAAATTTAACCTTTCTTGCAAGGTATGCTTTTGAAAATGCAGATTTTAAAATTAACATTACAGTTAAGATAGAACTCCAGTTCTACGTGCATAGTTCTTTAACAGGCCTCACTATTGATTGTGTATTGTGGCCAGATCACAGTCTGAGGTGACCTTTGCTAACATCTATCATGTATTAATAAATAACGGCAGATGCACAGCAAAGTTGACTTTATTTTGCTGATTTCTAGCTTATTTTCCTCCTTATTTTCTCCTTTAAAATCCTATTATTGCATCTGCTTTTAATACTGTCATGTTTTTCCTTTATATTTTGTCTCAAAATACATTTTTACCATAAAAAATATGCACAAAATATCACAAATAAATGACTAAATGAGCAATTCCCTATAAGAAATTTGCACTTTCTGTTCAATTTTACTGATTTCTAGGTTATGTTCCTCTTTATTGTCTCATTTAAAATTATTATTACTGCATCTGCTTTTAATACTGTCATGTTTTTCCTTTATATTTTGCCTCAAAATACATTTTTACCATAAAGAATATACACCAGATATCACAAATAAATGACTAAATGAGCAATTCCCTATAAGAAATCTGCACTTACTGTTCAATTTTACAGATTTCTAGGTTATGTTCCTCTTTATTGTCTCATTTAAAATGATTATTGCTGCATCTGCTTTTAATACTGACGTTTTTCCCTTCATATTTTGTCTCAAAAATACATTTATACCATAAAGAATATACACCAGGTATCACAAATAAATGACTAAATGAACAATTCCCTGCAAGAAATTTGCACTTGAGTAAATTCCGGGTGAAGTGTCTTGTGCTTGTACCAGTCAGGTGGCAGAAATAAATGTTTAATTAAACTCTATATCTGGAAGGAATGCTTTTGCTCTTCTTTATTATGAGAAAATACCTCATGTAGAGAAAAGAAACTATTATTTAAACTGTTCTGACTCAAGGACAGGACATTTCTTTGCTGATGAGCAGCAGTGAGACATTTTCATGAGAATACAAGCTAGATGGCGCTGCAGCCTCACTGGAAACTGATGTACATCCTGTCTGACAGCCGCTCAGGCTTCTCAGGTAATATTCCTCCACTTGTGCCCTTCAAAGCAGACCTTCAACTGCTTTAAAATCAAACAGGTAATCTGGTGAAAAAGCAGGTGACAGTTTAAAAACATAAAAAATGATGATCCCATGTGGTTGTTTTCTTTCTGTGTGTGATCCAGCTGCTGTGGTAAACTGTCGGCCTTGGAGATAAAGCCGTGTGGGCAGACTATTGAAGGGGGAACTGCTTTGTCTACCTCCACTGATAATATTTCATGTTTCTATGAGCGCAGATGCAGAATGCAGGAAGCAACAATGTGGCTGCAAATAACGGATGTGTTGGAGAAGGAGGTTTGACGTGAGACAGCGTCCACTGGGTCCTAAAGCCGGTTGGACTCTTGACAGAAGCGCCAGAGGTGCACAGGCTGCCATCAGGATGTAAGTGATCGTCCAAGTTCAACTCAGTTTTTGGTGCTACTGCAGTGGTTTCCCAAACTTTTCTTTCCGATGATGCCTTCACAGCCCTGTTAGATTAAAATACCACTAATCTCCACTTGTTTTCATAATCAGTTAATCAATTTGAGTATTTTTTTTTAAAAAGGAAATTAAGTGGAATTATTCTGATTCCCGGTACTACATTTAAAATATAATCTTTTTTTTTGTTGTTGTATTTTTAAGATTCAGGATAAGCTTTATTTGTTACATACATGGTACAATGTGCAGTGAAATGTGTTTTGTGCCAGCATCCAGTTTTAATAAAAAGAAAAATAGAAGAAAAAAAAATCCAATTAAAATATTTAAAATTAAATTAAAATTTCCAAATAAAATATTTAAAATATTTAATTAATTTCTGAAGTATAAAGCTGTCTGGAAATCTGTAATGCATTTAACAAAAAAATAACAGGTGCCTACAAAAAAAGTACAAATATTTAGTCATGACCACACAAAATGTGGTTTAAATATACTGTTTAATAGAGCTGCAATGATTAATCGATTAGCTGTCAGCTATTAAATGACTCGCCAGCTATTTTGATAATCAGTTTGTGTAACTTTTTTTTTTAGCAAAAAATCTCTGATTACAGCTTCATAGATTTAAATATTTTCTGATTTTGTTTTTCATCTAGGACAGTAAAAAAAGAAACAAAAAAAAGTTGAGTAAAATGTAAAAATTCTGGAATTATTTCACCATTTTCATCAACCAAACAACTCATCCATTAATTGGCTTGAGTCATTTTTTGAGAAATTACGTACAAATCCTCCGATTCCAGCTTCCTAAATGTGAATCTTTTCTGATTTTGTTCCTTGTCTTTGACAATGAACTGAATATCTTTCGGTTGTAGAGAAAATACAACATTTAAGGACGTTATTTTGGACTTTGGAAAACGCTGTCATTTTTCTGACATTTTATAGGCAAAACAACTCATCAGTTAATGAAGAAAATAATCAACAGACAATGAAAATAACTTAGAGTTGCAGCTTTAATAATTATTAAGGCAACAACCCTTTAAATTTATTAAATCTGGCTGTATAAGAGTCATGAAAAAGAAATAAAGCAATGCATGATAACTTAAAGGCTGCACAGGGTACTTTAATGGATGTGTATTTGGTTTATCCAGTTGAATTAAATTGCTGCAACACTTATTTTTTTTAAAATTATATTTCTCAAAGTAAAGAAAGAATGAATGAATGAATGAATGAATGAATGAATGAATGAATGAATCAACCAATCCTATCATCACCACTACCTAAAGTGTCCCTTAATGCAAATATAGTCAAACTACGATCAGAATCAGCTTTAATGGCCAAGTCTGTTCACAACATACAAGGAATTTGGTGTCAGCTGTTGGTATCGCCCTAGGAATGAGCAAGAAGAATAATAGAAATAGGAAAATAAAATGAAAAAATAAAATAAAATAAAATAAAAATTCAGTAAAATAACTATAGAAAGAAAAAAATAATTAAAAAATAAAACAACATAAGATAGCAAATATATACAAGAATTTACACATCTGCGCAGAAACAAAATATATGTACAGTGGTGCAAAATAGCAGTGCAAGATGACATTAATGATAAAATTGGCCCACCTAAAGACATATTTGTTGATGATTCCACTATCTCCTGCAAGAACACTATTCTGGGTTGATGACTGAGGACTGTGAAGGCCACTAACAATAGTACTGAACGCACAGATCTCTTGTCTGCTGAGCACAGTAAATGACATGTGAGTGAGTGCGTCCGGGCGCTAGGACCCAGCAGCCTCTCCTCCATGCAGCAGCAGCAGTCTGCCGCTGCGAGAGGACCAGAAATCTGCAGCTCCCAGAATGAAGAGATCAAAATGATGCTGCTGCTGCCCGCAAAAAGGGATTAAACGTAAGCAATCTGTCGTCAGCTGCCGCTAAATCCGCGGCTCATTACTCCTCTGTTTTTTTCTGTGCAAACATTTCCAATGACTAATGCAATTATCGGGCGCAGGGTTTCGCTTCGTATTGTTGCAACTGCAGGCGAGCTAATGACAGATGCATCGTGCTCACTTTCTTCGTTGCACTAGACGAGAATTGCAGCGGATGCAGGCGGCAGGCCTTTAATGCGATCTGTTGTTTTTGTTTCTCTCCATCTGCCGGGTCTCGTCTCGGGCGCCACCTCGAATAACACAGATTTGGAGTTGAGGTGAAGAAAAAAAAAAAGACAGAAGAAAAAAAAAAAAAAACCCCGGAGAGGACATGCCGTCGCTGAGCATCCGTTGCGACGCTTGACTGACCATGATGAAGACCGAATCCACATCCAAGAGCACCGGCTCTGGCTCCACGCTCCGGAGCCCATCCCCGCACAGGAACGCGTACGAGGCGGGGATGCAGGCCCTGAAGCCCGTCAAAGACAATGCCGCCAACGGGGACGTGCAGGAGGGCCCTCGGGGGCGCAGGTACGGCTCCAACGTGCACCGTATCAAGAACATGTTCCAGCAGATGCAGACCACGGCCCCGGCGGACGCGGAGGGGGAGGAGGCGGCCAGGAACGCCGACAAATCCGTGCGCCTCTCCCTCCCCAGAGCCGGCAGCCTCAACGAGAACGTGGACCACAGCGCGCTCCTGAAGCTCGGGTCCACCGTGTCTGAGCGCGTCAGCAAGTTCGACACCAAGCCGGAGAATGGCCACCAGCGGGCCTCGTCGCCCAGCTACTCCAAACTGCAGGAGACGCGCCGCATCTTCGAGCAGCAGCAGGAGAAGCAGCATCAGGAGAAGCTGGCCACCACCAGGGTGCTGCTGAAGACCGACAAGGCCTCGGGCTTCCAGGACGGCAGGCTGGACGTGGTGGCGCGTTTCAACGGCAGCACCGAGTCCCTGGACAGCCTGGACACCAGCGAGGCGGTGTCCCCCACTGTCAGCCAGCTCAGTGCGGTGTTTGAACGGGCTGCAGAGCTCCGGAACAACCTCCACCGCCTCTCCTCCACGCCTCCACTCCCCTCCAGAGGGGTCAGCGCCAAAGTGGGGGTGTTGAACTCCAAGATCATCACGAAGAGGGTCAGTGCCTTTGCATCGGGCAACCAGGAGGACGGGATCGGCAATCAGAAGAGCCAGGAGGGGTCTCAGAGGGGCGCCAGGGGAAGGGTGACCCCCCCATCTGAGGGCATCAACGGGGGTCAAAGCGTTGGCTCGACTACTGAACTCTCGGCGGGGGACCCGAACGAGCAGAGAGAAAAGACTGTTTCGGATGCAGGGGTGGAGGCTCGAGCCGAGGTCAAGCCTGAGGTCAAGAAGCCCGACATCTACATCTCGGTGGAGAACGGGGAAGATGCCGAGAAGCAAATCTCCCCTCAGAGAGAAGGGGACAAGGAGGAGGACGAGGACGACAGGACTCTGAGGGACGACCAGTCGGGCCGGGACTCTGTGGATATCAGTACCTACAGCGCGGTGGGCGAGGACTTCGGCGGGAGCCAGAAGGACGAGGACGAAGACGAGGAGGACGACCGGTACGAACCCGAGTCCAGCTGCGTGGAGATCTCCGGGCTGCCGGCCGAGGAGGACCCTCCGCCGTCGAGGAAGATCCGCTTCAGCACCGAGCCCATCAAGGTGAGGAGATGAGAACACGACGCCCCGGTTCTGTTTCTTTCCCCCCCCATCCTGTGTGTTCGGAGGCTTGTTGACCTTAGCCAAGCACTGCTGTCAGCTTTTTCCCCTCAGTGTCAGACTGATGCTGACATTTTAATTTTACTGTTCCAACACGGGGCTTTGCACACTACCAACACACAGCATTCCTCCTGTGCAGCTCACATGGGCCCCTGAAAGAGCCACCAGTGTAGATACTTATCTGAAAACTGCTAGTGGCAGCTGCTTCTGTAAATAATTGCTTTGCCTGGATAATCATCCCTGTTTTTTTTTTTGTTTTTTTTAGAGTAGTGGATGGAATAAAAATAATGAAAGGTCAGCGGACAGTTTAAAGAGATCTGGGTGAGGAATGGAGTGTTTTTGTGAGAGGAAGTGAGAAAAAAAAAAAGAAAGAGACTGTGATCTACTCTTGGATCTGTGAGATGAGAGAATAGGACAGACGAGGAGGAGGAGGAGGAGGAAGAAGAGTTGATTTAAAGTGTCTCTGTGTGTCTGGGGGTGGTGTAATGATCCGGAGAAGCTCAGTCTTTGCTGCTCTGCTTCTTTTTTTTGTTGTTGCCTTGAGGTCTGAGGCGAACACAGACTCTGCCACTGTACATCACACACATTTCCCATTTGGGTGACTAAGCACTCCTGTCCCACATCATGACTGGTCAAGTCAGAAGTTGCTCTTGTTTGTCTTCTCGTGGCTGCACATCATCCGGCTGCGTTTAGTTACTGCAGCTTGACTTTCCAATATTTTACCCCCCAGAAAAGTTGATATATTCTGGTTTCTTTGCTCCTTTATGACAGGAAACTGGACAAACAAGACGTTTAAGAATGTCATCTTGAGCTTTGGGAAACACTGGTCATTTCAAAACATAAGTACACATTTAAGGCAATCCTTTACCATAAACACTACAGCTCCGGCGATTAATCGACTGCTTTGCAACGAAACACCAACTACTTTGATATTTGATTAATAGGCTCAAGTAAGCTTTTAAGAAAACTCTGATTCCAGCTTCTTAAACTTTAATATTTTCTGGTTTCATTCCTCCTCTGTGACAGTAAACTGAATGTCAACGTTTCATCAACTTTCAGACCAAACAACTGATTGATTAATCGAGAAACATCTTGATCTTCGGACGTTTTAAGCTGAATAACATCCGATTTAACATAATCCTTTAACATAAACGCCAGAGCTGCAACGATTAATCAACTATTAGATTAATCGCCAACTATTTTGATATTCAATGAACGAGTAGTTTCTAAAGAAAACGAGTACAAATCCTCTGATCCAGCTTCCTAAATTAAAATATTTTCTGGTTTCTTTACTCCTCTATGACAGTCAGCTGAATATATTTGGACAAACCGAGATGTTTAAGGATGCCATCTATGGCTTTAGGGCAGGGGTGTCGAATCCTGGTCCTCGAGGGCCGCAATCCTGCAAGTTTTAGACGTTTCCTTCTTCCAACACACCTGATTCAAATGATCAGGATCGTTACCAGGCTTCTGCAGAGCTTGATGATGAGCTGATCATTTGAATCAGGTGTGTTGGAAGAGGGAACATCTAAAACATGCAGGATTGTGGCCCTCGAGGACCAGGATTCGACACCCCTGCTTTAGGGAAACCCTGATCGCCATTTTTTATTGTTTTCTGTCATCTTATGGACCTAATCTATCAAAAAACATCTTAGTATTCCAGTAAAAAAAGCAGATAGGGTCATATTTAGCGCTACACTTTGGCACAAACATCAGAGCTGCAGCGATTAATCGATCACTTGTCAACTATCACATAAATCACCAACTATTTAGAACTTTAATTCATTAGTTCAAGCAGCGTTTTAAGAAAATAAAATAGAAATCCTTTGATTCCAACTTCTTAAATTTGAATATTTTCTGGTTTCTAGGGCAGTAAACTGAATATATTTGAGTTGTGGACAAAACAAGCAATTGAGGACGCCGTCGGGAGCTTTTGGGGAACACTGAATGACATTTGTCATCGTTTTCTGACATTTTGTGGAGCAAACAACCAACTGATTAATGGAGAAAATAATCAACAGACAACGAAATGACATTCTGTTGCAGCTTTAATGAACACTTGTTGCAATGACTTTCCAAATTTTGGCTACAAAAGACAAAAAGGTATGAACTATTGTGAGATCATCTAAAGCAATAGTTTGATTGTTATGTTTGAGAAATGCGCTTGTTTTCATTCTTTCAGAGAACTTCAGCTTTCATATTTTTATGATGTATATGAAGCTACAGTCTTAATTTAATCCAAGCTAAACATCCTGATGAGCGACTCCATCCCTTAAATGCACATCTAGTTTAACTAAGATGACGTTATTGTTAAAATTATTTACTAAAAAATGATATTTAAAGCACCTGTAAGCATATTTGTGACCAAACAATAAAAACTAAAGACACTTCAGCTGCTAAGTTACTATCTACTAGCATTTTTCTCTCATTCCTATATTGCTGATGCCACTTCAAACCGGAGAGGAAAACAGCCAAAGCAGAAATTTCTCATGTAAAATCAATAATGTTGTGGCTTTGGCAGATTAAAGTGTGTTGATGTGGATTCCAGTTGCTCATAGTAAGAGAAACAGAGCAAGAAAACGGGTTTTCAGGACCGTAAACAATACGTAAGACAATATGAAATTTCATACCGTAAACATGGCAGAAAATTAAAAGCACCCTGGGAAGTTTTGGACCTCCACAGCTGCTGTGTGGAGCAACACTTTGTACGTTGCAATATTCAGCATCTCCAACGGTGTCCAATAAACCGATGCACCGAGACATGTAGCAGGTTCAATGCAGAGAAGATTGCTAAACAATACAGCTGCAGATGACAGATATATTCATTGTCAATCGATCTGTCAGTCATTTGAGTAATCGAGTAGTTGTTTGGTGAAAAATGGTGATTGGCGCTCAAGAAGACATCTTGATTTGTCCACAATATATTCAGTTTACTGTCAGAGAATAGGAAATATACCAGACAATATTCAAATTTAACAAGCTGCAATCACAGACGTTTCACTTTCTTTTCATAAACAATGACTCAAGTCAGTTATTAAAGTACTTGGCAATTAATTTAACAGTTGACAAGCAATCGATTTGGACGTAAACAGTCAAAAGTGCAGTTTTGCAATCATTTTTAGACTGAAAAACACTGAGTTTAAACAATACCTTTAAAAAACATACAAAAAAACTCAATATTTTGAATTTGAGTCATGAAAAATTAAGCCCATTAAAAATGTATGTGCAGCACTGATTACACTCGTGTTAATATGTCTAAATATTGAAGTCTAATATACTGAGCAAATCCCACGAATTATATATAAATCATGTGCCTCTCATGCAATTGTAATGGGAATTATAAAAAAAAAAGAAAGAGGAAACACATTATTTTATCCTCATGAGATCAAAGGTGGATCCAGGGAGAAAGCTTTATGAACGGTGTAATAAAAAGTCATCACTCATCTGCTGTGATAAAAAGGCGAATTTTGTTTTGACCCCGAAGCCGTCGCTGGAGAATAAACCCCCTGCTGAGGCCTTTCACACTGTATCACTGTGAGCCTTTGTTATGGAGATTGATGCAGGGGTGGATGAGAGTAAAAAGACCAGAGGAGGAGGAGGGTGGCGAGGTCAAATGGGAGGGGCGTTATTATGTAGCTCAAATGTCATGTGACTGTACAGCTCTTAAGTCTCACTGTCACTTTGGTTTCAAACAGTAGAAGAGCCCAGTTTTAGTGCATATTTATTTTTTTCCCCCCTCTCCTCCTTCAGTGGCCACAATTAAGTCTTGTTGTGGTGAAGGCGTTTGGACGTCATGTCTGTCTTTGTCCCCGTTTTACACTGAACTGTCTGTCTGTCTGTCCTCGCAAAAAAAAAAAAAAAAAAAATCGCAGTTCAGCTCCGGGTAGAGTTCACACTGGAGTCTTTGTTTTTTTGGCTCCTCCTGACACTCTTCCTCCTTCTTCTCTCTGTCTCTTCCCCACCCCTCACCCCTTTTTTTTTTTTTTTTCTGCTTCTTTGTCACCAGTCTGCTACTGTTAGTAAAAATAGCAGCATTGTTATCGTCACAGACTCGCCTCGCCTCCTTGTCGAACACAGGAAGCTGCCTCTCATATCTTATTTATTCGGTTTCGCTTGTTTGTTTTGGCTTTCGTTCTGTATCACTCATGATGTAGCCTCCTGGCATGTTGTGATTTTTAATTATTTATCCCATTGTGCAGGGAGAGCTTTTTTTTTTTTTTAAGATAATCTCCGCTTGGATTTGCTGCGTCCCCCCCCCTCCACCACCACCACCGCCACCCTTCCAAAACCAGAAGTAATCAGATTTATTTTTCATGCAGCAGAATCACCTTGCTCACTCATCACCTACTCTTACACTTTTTTTTTTTGCTCACCCCTCACCGCCATCACACACTCCTCCTCGTGGGTTTCTGCTGCCTACGCAACTCTGAACAGCAGCCCTGCCAGCCTGCTCCAAGAACACCTATGATTTTCTTTCACACCGTATCATTAACACAAACACTGACTGCAGTTATATTATAATAAACCGAGGGGTGTTGAATTTTGACAAACATAGAACCCGACAGTTTTTGAGGTTGCGCAGCACCCCCCTAAACGCAACCTTTTGTGGTGGTTTTTTTGCTCAGGTCAGCCGGTGAGGAATTGCCCAGGGGAAGAGGCAATACATCACCATATGTTCAGGCATCCTCAAACTGTCTGTTACTTAGACTCGGCGGGCTTTGCGGTGTTTCATACCGAGCATTACTCACAGCCAGGAGGGGTGGGAAGACCAGACAGATTACCAACAAGGTCACGCTGCCCCACTTCGCAGTCCCTGCACTTGTGGTGGGCAAGTGTTTTATGTGATGTTCCCACTCGCTCAGGTGGACGAGCCACGTTATGCAACGTCTCGCTCATGATGTCTGGGTGCCGTTTCGTCCTTTCCGACCTGCCACCATGCTGCC